TGAAACTGTAATACCAAATAGTAACATTGAAATAATGGCATAAAATAGTGACATTGAATAGTAAAATAAGTTATCTTTGTTTTAGTAACATGCTTGTTAAGTGTTAATGTTTTCTTGGTTTTGAATATTTGAAAATTTTGTTTATCATAAATGGCTTCAAATGAGAACAATGTGCCTACTACTACAAATTATTTGGTCTCTATGGTACCTATTTTTGTACCTACTCATGTAACTCGTAGAGAAAAACTTGAAAAGTTCAATGAAAACGATTTCAAGAGATAACAATAGCTAATGATGTTCTATCTCACTACGTTGAATCTTGCAAAAAAAATTTTCCTGAAAGTATTCTTGTTTCTCATGCGAATGAGATTGGCTACCAAGTTGTAGCTGTGGTAGATGCATCAATGGATTGAATAACATATTATATAATGTGCATAGTTCGATTAAGATGGCTAGAGAGCTGTTGGAATCCTTGGCTGAAAAGTATAAACTGGAGGATGCCGCAATGAAGAAATTTGTTGTGGGCAAATTCTTTTTTTACAAAATGGTGGATTCCAAGACTATCATAAGTTAAGTTCAAGATCCTACATGAGGTTCATGTCGAAGGGATAGTGCTTAGTGACTCTTTTCAAGTGGCTGTAATTATTGAAAAATTAATACCACATTGGCAGCACTCCAAAAATTATTTGAAGCACAAACGCAAAGAAATAAAACTTGAAGACTTCATTTTGCGATTGAGGATTGAGTAGGACAATAGGGTCTCCGAAAAAAAATTGGTAATCATTCCATGAAGTCAAATGCATATTTGATTGAAGACGGATAGAAAACCAACAAGAAAAGGAAGCATGATGACCAACAAGGGCCAAGGGTGGTGATTTCAAAAAGTTCAAAGACAACTGTTTTGTGTGCAACAAACCGAGGCATCGTGCTAAGAATTACTAAAGTCGTAATACACAAGAGAACTACAAGAAGAAAGCTAGCCAAGCCAATATTACCGTGGTGGAAAAAATTTATGAAAATTTTTCTAATATTGATTTTTCTATTGTAGTATTTGATAGTGAACTTGGTGGGTGGACACTAGGGCCAGTAGACACAAGCTCGGATAAGAAGATATTCTCTTCATATAAAACTATTAGTCATGGAGAACAACTATTCATGAAAAATTCCTCTACTTTCAAAGTTGAAAACAAATGAATGTTTACATTGAAGATGACTTATGCAAAAGAACTTACTTTTAATGATGTGTTACATATTTCAAAAATTCGAAAGAATCTTGTGTCTGAATCATTGTTAAGTAAGAAGGGTTTTGAATTGGTTTTTGAATCTGACAATTTTATACTCACCAAGGGTGGAATTTATGTAGGCAATGGATATTTAAGGGATGTGTTCTTTCAGATGAATGTAATAACAATTATATCTGCTTTTAATAATAATAATAATAATAAATGGCATGAGAAATTTAAAGTAAGCACAAAGCAATGACATTAGAAATTTAACAAAGTCATGATGTCAAATATATTCGTAATTAATGAATATGATAAATATGTCTATGTCAAAGACACAAATAATAGATGTGTCATTGTTTGTCTATATGTGGATGATATGTTTATTCTAAATAGTAATAATGATAATATTAAAACTACCAAGAAGATGTTGGCTAGTAAATTTGACGTGAAGGATTTGGAAGTTGCATACATTATACTAGGAATTAAAACTTATAGAACATCTGGTGGATTTGTATTATCTTAATTACATTATATTGAGAAAATATTTTAGAAGTTTGACAATAATGAAAGAAGTATTACTAGAATACCAATTGATATAAACATTCATTTTTCTAAAAATACTAGTCAGGACATATCACAACTAGAATACTCTCAATGATTGACAGTTTAATGTATGTCATGAACTGCACTAGACCTAATATAGCATACTTAATTAGTAAATTGAGTAGATATAAGAGTAATCCAAAAGTAGACCATTGGAAGACAATAATTAGGGTTTTTCAATACTTAAACTATACTCTGATTTTTGAACTTCACTATACAAGATATCCAGCTATACTTGAATGATATAGTGATGCTTATTAGATATCTGATATAAAGGATACAAAGTTCACAAGTAGTTATGTTTTTACAATTGGTGGTGCATCTATATCTTGAAAATTCTCTAAGAAAACGTGTATTGTCAGATTCATGATGAAATTTAAATTTATTGCTTTAGATAAAGCAAGAGAGGAAGTTGAGTGGCTTTGCCAACTTCTAGAGGATATTCTAATATGACCAAAACATGTGTATGTGATTTATATACATTGTGATAGTCAATCTACAACTGAACGGGCACAGAGTCATATGCATAATGGTAAGTCCAGATATATTTGTTGTAGACATAATGTCATTAAGCAGATGCTCTCAAATGAGATTATTTCTATTGATTATATAAAATCAAAGGAAAATCTAGCGGATCCGCTTATTAAAGGCATGACGAGAGAGTAAGTAAATTTCACATTGAGGGGATTGAGGATTTAACCTATAACTTAAGAGTTATCTTAATAGCAACCCAACCTAATTAACTGTAAATCCCAAGATCTAGGTTAAAAGGGATAACCGAATTATGCATGAGTCAAAAGAAATACTTAGGAGATAATTTCTCCTACCTATTCCTATGATAAACTAGTATTGCCTACAGAGTTTATTAGGGTAAGCTATACTTTTAATGACTCTTATATGTTGGAAATCCAAGTGGGATATTGTAGGATATTTTTAATAGGAGTCACATATATGGGTGTAAAAGGGTCGGTTCTTTGAGAATTAGTAATGGCTAAATTCTCTAAAGCACTCATGAAAATCAAGAGTTGTTCAGGACCAAAATGAACACATTCGTGAGAACCAATTGTGCTAGAAAAAAGGTTGTGTGAAGTCTATTTGATCTAATTTATTAAACAGCTGAATTGTTCAAGATATCAAGTTCATTATTTAGCCAATAAGTCTGATGGGCTTTCACTAGGGAAGGTTCATAACCAAAACCTATCGATCTCGATGCATAATCTTTTCCAAAATGTACTCTCTATTGTGTGTTAGAATTATCATTTGCATACCAACAATTAATTTTTCATTCATGTGGAGGATTGTTGGACCAAAATAGTTTTTACACATAAAGAATAGATTTTTTAGTAGATTTTGAGTATAAATTAAAATGGGACCCACTCATTATTTTGAGTAAACTTTCGTGGCTTCTTGTTCTAATCCTTGAGGAAAAAAACGAAGCATATGCACTTGTTCAAATCGGCTAAGAGGTGAATAAGAAAATAGACTCAAAAGAGACCCTCTTGAATGTGCAAATAAAGGTTGGGAAAATATGAAATTTGACATCAATCCCACAGTTGTTAGGCAATGAACTTTACATGAGCATATATGCTCTATGAATCGGGCCCAAGGGACACTACAATTTTGTGGAAAGGTGAGGACCTAAATGGGCTTCGGTTCAACCACACAAGCGTTACCTTCACCTGCCAAACCCCGACTCAACTCGGCTGGGCTAGACTTGAGTTCAAGTATGGGTGTGGTTTAGATTCAACCTTATTTTTTTTTGGGGAAATTCATTTGTCGAATTATGTTTGAAATTCTTAATCCAATTTTAATTTTTGCTTGTTGGAATTCAAAATTTGCACTAGTTCAAATTTTAATTTTCCCTGAAGTCTAAATTTGAATTTCGTGTCTATTCATTATTAGGCAGACTTGAATGGTATCTTCTAGATTGCATTGTGCCTTTTGGGTTGTATCAATTCGCATGGTGGCTTTCCAAAATAGTCACAATTCTATCTATAAATAGCCTAAATTAATTAGCATTTGCACTAATAACATTACAAATTAAGGTAGTCATTACATTCATCATTTTCATAATTAAGAGTCTGCATTTTTTGAGAGTTCAAAATACAATATTGGGCTCATTGGACAATTGAATTGAAGTGGTACTTTCAATTGCGTGAAGATCATTGTATTCTGGGAAACAGACGCTGATACTTCCATAAGCATCAGTGTAGGGGCAAAATCTGTCTTAAGGATATAGCATTAAACGTTTGCCTTGATTTATATAAATTCAATCTCCATTCTTGATCTACAAATGAGTCTATTTATTTATTACAGATTTATGTGTTACTATTTGTTCTTGCATGTTACTATTTTGCTCTTAATTGCATAAACATATTTATATCTTTCTATTTAGTATATTTATAAGTTTAATAGAATTCCAAAATCTCAATAAGTAATTTTTCCATTATGTAGAAATCCACACAGACAATAAACACATGGGAAATGCAAAGATAGAAATGTGCTTTTACATTATTATTCACAATGATAAACATTGACTTTATCTTTTTCACTAGGTTTGGATTGATTATGGGTAGACAACTGTGTTATTTTTGGATGCTAGGTTGGACATTTGAATTTGAATATTTGATTTAGAAACTGCCTTTCATGGTCAAAGTTTGCTTTGTGCATTTATTGGGTTTTTTATTGAATGGTTAAATTAAGATTTAACCTAAAGTTGACAATTATGCCAAAATTCGTGGAAAGCCAGCTGAAAATTGAGTACAAGGCTATTGTCCTATAAAGCTTTCACCCTACCTAAGCTAAATCAAAGGAGCAACTAGAACAACTGAGACAGTAGCCTTAGATTTAGCTCTAATAGCTAGGAATTGAGCTTTCAAACTTTGCTTTCATTGTACAGAAAAATTAATTGAAAGATGCTTACAACAAAAGCTGGATGTCATACTTTGGTTTATAGGTGATGGTAGCAGGGGAGAGGGGGAAATAGACTCTGTTGATGGGTGGAGTTTGTTGGTGTGGCCTTGGATTAATGAGGTTCCTTTTGTGCACGTGGGATGAATAGGATTTCAAATTTGTGCATGTGTACAGTGCCTTCAGGCGTAGGAAGTTTGTTGCGATTTTTTTGTTTATCACTTAGTGTGTTTGAATACCAAAAATTGCTAGTTAATGTATAAGAAAACAGCCAATCCTTATTTTTATTCATGCTTTATTTATATTCATGATTACAGTACCAAATCATTGTCCCCATTACGTCACTTTCAACATCTCGTAAGACTATGACAAATTGGCAGGTCATTATCTTCTACGACTATGACTTATTCAGAAAACTTTTGGCTATCCTTCCATTTCCTCCACGGGGGTAGAATCCACCGGGAACATGCTCATTGCCGGTACCATACACGATCCTCAATATCTCTGCCGGAGTCCTCCTGTAAGAGAGTGAGTAGTAATTGGCCGACAACACATTGCTAGTGGTTCGGTTTTCCGCCCCTAGTTCCAGGGGGACAATGATGCCTTCATCCTTGATGCCGCACATTCCCAAACGATTCCTCAGCTCTGAAATGCGGATGGTAAACTCAGCCACTGTGTGATTGTATGGGTGCACCACTTCCTCGGCTCGCTCGTAGAGATATGTTCTGATGACTGCATCTTGGCCAGATTCAACCCCCAAGAGTCCTGCCAAGAGCTGTTCAAGAGAAATTTCAAACGGGGAGGGGGTAAAGTTAAGACCACATGAGTTTATGATAATTGTTATCATGCATTATATTTGTGTGTCAATCTATTTCATTTTACATGTAGGCAGTTCAATTATAAATTTATAAAAACACAAGGTGGGGATTGATCCAATTTTATCTACTTTCATCCAATTGTATAGAATTCACCCCAAAATTTTTTCCATGCAAAAAAATATCATATTTTCTGCACGGCTAAGAATGTTATACAACTCAACTAACACATTCTCCAATGCAAGACAACCACGTTAATCCACACATATATCTCTCTTATTTTGTATTTGCTGACTTTCATTTTAAATTGCATAGTTAAATTACTATTTAAAATATAAATGTTGCACAATTAATTCTCAATTTTTAGTATTATAGAGTATAGACATGGGAATATTGCTAGTATATATTTTTTATATGGACAACGACTTATAATGGATCATGTCGTTACGTCTAAGTTAAGGTAGTTGTGTGCTGTGAGACTTAGTTTAACGAACAATTTTACTTGTATATAATTTACTTAACTTAATCATTCATACTATTGAATTAAGAATAGGCCCTAATATTGTTAGGACCCGCAACAAATTCAATAGTTGTGTTAGATTATGTCAATAAATTATGTTAGCAAATTAGATCTAAATAGTATTATTGTAATTCAACTTGTACTCAATCTAGTTATAGTTTGTGTAGATTCGAATTCTTTATATATTGAGTTGCGTCCTGAATACTCGAGTTTGTGTAAAATGTCAATTTCATTTATTAAACAGATCTTACATACTAAACCCGTTTGATTTGAATCTATTAATATCACAACATAAATTACCGTGTTAAGAAACATCAATCCTAACGATTATGATTATGGTAAACTAGCTAGTTGATGAATAGAACTGAAGTTATTTTCGGGACTTACCCTCTTAGTCAAATAGCCGTTGATGGTGGGATTTGTGCCCACGTAGCCTACAAGTCCCACATATGGAATCACATAAGAAGCCAACATATAGCTGAGGCTGTCACGATAGGGGTCAAAGGGAGGGACGAGTTTGTATCCGAAAGCTTCATCAAATAGTTTTGCAAAGTTTTTGGCACTGAGATCCAGCAGAGGTCTCGGGAACAAACCAACAACGGATTTAAGGGCTCTGAAATGTTCAAAACACAATTAGATAGCGGATTTAAATATCAATTTTGTTTCATATTATTTTAATAGATAATAGTTGTTAATTTTTTGACAATAAATGCACATTTGAGTGGTCTATATTACTAAATAAACAACTATCTATTATACATGTGCAGTTTAAAAATCAATAAAAATATTCATCCATAACTTTGTCTTTCTTAAACTTCAAATTTTTTTTCTCTCACCGATTTTTTTTTCTTCCAGCAACTATTTGATTACAAAAGAGGTAAAATAAAGTAGTACTAGACACTTGGCATGAAGTTCTTTGGGGTTTCACTCCCTCCTTTGACAGATTTTCAAGTTTGTTGTTATTTATTATAGTGATATAAAATAAAATTGATATTTTATGGTGTAATGTAAGAAATTTTATAATTGAAAGTATAAAGTAAAACAAAAATAATAGTTCAAAAGGGAAAAGTGTAATATACTCCAAAAATTACTAGCCAAAGAAATTTTAAAAATAAGCGTGCTAAATACATATGAAATTCCCAAAAATGGTCCCTCGCCATTAATAAAACTGCCAACCTTCAAGAACGGACAAGCCTAGTAAAAAAAAAAAAATCGGTACCTGTAAATTTTATAATTTTTCAGGTTTCAATGCAAATTTTGCGGTTTGTTTATAAAAAAAATTATAATTTTTTTTGATTAAGTTATAATTTTTAAGAATTGAATTACAATTATTTTAGGTCAAGTTACAAGTTTTGTAATTACTTGTATCGATACTAAAAATATTGTGATTAATCTCAACAGTTTTAGAATCGATCGTAAGTTATCACAAAAGTTGTAAAATGACCCTCATAAGCTATAAAAAAACTTATAAAATTTGTCACAACGATAATTTTTTTTTTTTTTAGTACCACAGACTTCTCCTTTAAGAACATTAAAAAATTTAATGACCTAGTGACCTAAGGTTCAACTCTCTCTCTCCCTCTCCCTTTCTCTCTCATCCACACCTACGCCAAAAGTAAAGTCTTACACTACTAACTCCCTCTCCTCTCTTTTACTATTCTAATTTGAACTCTCTTGGAAGTCCGTCCAATGCCGATTTTCAAATATTATTATCATGTCATTCAAGAAAGAATTTTGTATTTCATTGATAAATTATTTATCTTCATAATTTTATTAATATAATATAATTTAAGTGGAGTTATATTTTATTATGAAAGTTGGTGCGGATATTTGAACTGGGAGACAAAGTAAGTTCCTATATCAATTAAATCTAATAATTTTCTGTTAATCTAGGAGCTACCGCTATCCTATTATGAGCAATGCTATTGGGGCCTAATTTATTGATCAAATTCACTATGATCTTTAGATTAACTGTGAGCTCCATCAAACATTAGAATTTTGTATTTATCCAATAGTTTCAATGAAGTCACGTCATTAGGTCAACAAATTATGTCAAATTTTTAAATCTAAATAGTATTTTCCATCCCGTCATAACTTAAATTTATATGTTAGTACAGTGTTGGATATGAAAAGCCTAAATGAAGAGAAAAGTCAATGAACCAATTCAATCTAAAAAAAAGAACTTTGGATAAATTAGTTTACAATAATAAGAAACTATGATGTTGTATTGTTAATTTGCTATACTCGATTTTAAAGAGCCTTATTTAAAAATTAATAATGCACGACATGCATGGCACGTAAATAAATTTAAATATATTATTTTTTATAAAAAAACGTGAATTAAATAATAAATTAGGTGTCAAATAATTAATTTATATTTTAATTATTACTAAATTTAATTATTAATTTATTTTATAAATTTTTGAATACCTATTTTATCATTTATCTAGATATCTCTCTAACCATTTTACGCATTTGCACATCTAATTACATTACACAATTATTAATTTTTATTTTATTAAATAGATCGATTAGATCACTTATAGTATTATTATATTATTGCATGCTAAAAAATAAAATATAACATATATTGGACCGTGAAATTTAACCTGATAACTACATGTGTATAATAATTTAACATATATAGGACTTTATTTTTGCATATAGATATAGATAATTCTATATAACTGTACTATTAATAAATTAATTCAAAAAAAATTAGAAATCTTTATAAAATAATCCAAAATACGTTGAAAGTTAAATAAGTATAAAAAACATAAATTAGATAAAAGTATATTGGTGGGTATAATTGACTTTATCATAATAATTAAAGATAAATTAAGAAATTAAAATTTTTGCAGATGCTGTCATTTATATATATATATATATATATATATTTAGCTTAGACAGAATATAGATAAAGAGATGAACCTGAGATGACCAACTTCTTGATATGCGAATTCAGTGATAATCTTCTCAGTGAGAGCATCAAGATTAGCTTTTTGGGCACCGATTGGAGGAGGGCCTCCCATGACTAAGTACGGAGCCACCCGGTCAAGTCCATGACCCAGTGCAGCCCACAAGAAGAATTCAGCTTCTAAGAACTCAAGATTTTCTGGAAATTGCATCATGTCCACGTCTTCTTTGTATACAGGAATTGCATCCTTAGGATACGCTGGCTTGCAAGTAGGTTGAGAAAAACCAGAGTACATCAAATTGTTAGACATCAAGATCATAAACACAAAAAAGGAGGAGATCAAAGGGCCTGAGAGAACAGCCATACTCGTCAGAGAGGGAGAGAGAAAGGGAAGAGAGTGGAAGTATGGGATGATATGAACGAGAGACTTGAGTGGTATTTATAATGCCGAGGCAGTGAACAATATTAGAGACGTGCAGTATTTGCTTGTTCAATTTCCACATTTTCCACATCATATTGATGAATACGTTTACTTGTACAATTGGCAACCACATCACCGGGGACGGCTCAAGAAACTAAGAAAGCCCGAGGCCTAAAGCCATATTTGTATATGAGACTTTTTTTTAATTGTTTGTTTTGCTAATTCTCTCTCTCTTTCTTTTGATGTCAACTTTAAGTAAGACTTTATTAATTTTAAAATTTTCGTTACTAATACTTTTTTTTTTGGATATTTTGCATTCAAGATAGTTGTTTTACATGTTTAACTCTTATCGTGAATATTTTTTTATTATTATTTTTTTGTATTATTTTATTATTTCTTATTCTTTGGAATCTATTAATTGTTTATTTGCAGGACTTTAAACTATTTTTCTTTGACATTTTGTTTGGTAGTAGGAATAAAAAAATCATTTTGAGATTCAATTATTTTAAAATTTTCTCATTTTTTAGAAAAAAATTTCATATCTAGATGATTATTTTCTAATTGTCATATTTATAATACATAATCAATAAATTAGTTCTAAATAATCATATGGTATCTATAATTATAGAATATAACATGAGCTTAAAATTACAAAAAATATAAAAAACAATTCAATTTGATTTGTCACAGTTATTTGTAACATTAAAATTTAATATTTTAGTTCTTTCTTGATTAAAGTTAGTAAAATTAAGTGGGTTTGATTTGGTGCATGATTTAAGATGAAAAATTTTGTGTGTGTGAGAGAGAGAGAGAGTTATATTTATATTTAATTGGAGATGTAAGAGAGTGTGTGTGTGAGAAAGAGAGAGAGAAAGAAGAGAGTTTTGCTTTTTATTTATTTATTTTACCGTACTGAGTTTTGATTGTTGCAATAAAGTGTGTAGGCTGTATTTTTGGGCCCAATTATTAAATCTAAAATTTAGTCATTAATTGTACATTTTATTAAGGTTTTTATGGAGTTTATATTGTTATGTATTTAAAAACTTGGACTGAATTACATTGTACATTAAAAAATATGGCACATTTGTTGCGATTGAGGCCTAAAATCATCGTTTTTTTGGTTACACTGTTGAGCCCATAGTCGAAGGGAGATAGGGGTCAGGGTGGGCACGTGCCCCCCTCAAATGTTTTTTTTTTATTAGTTAGATATATGTATTATATATTTATACATATGTATTATGTGTGCCCCCTTATTTATATTAGGCCAACATTATTTACTCAAAATAATTAAATAATTAAGTCCATTTAAAACAAAAAAAATTGAACTCACTATTATCTATTTAAACTTATTAAAAAATCAAATATTTGATCTATCATAATCCACCCAAACCTATTAAAAAAACAAAACTTTTAGCCCAACATTAAAAACAAAATTTTTGACCCAACATTAAAAACAAAACTTTTGGCCCACTTCACTAAAACCTATCTTATATTTCCCTTTTTTTTTTCTTGCCTCTCTGTATCACTCATTTCCAGCTGCCCACTGCCCACTACCCAACCACAAGAAAAAAAAAAAGAAATAACGAAAAGCTCAACACATGAGCAGCTCAGTTCCTTGAATTTTTTTGTTCTTCCGTACATCGACCTATAAAATTATTTTATACATTATATTTACCCCTAAATTTTTGAAAATTTTAATAATAGTTCTAGTCTTTTTTTTTTTTAATAAATTAGTGGACCACTAACCCTCTAAAATAATATGTTAGTTTTGGATTAAGTCAATGTTTTATTTGTATATCGACAAAAATATAATATTTCTCTTTATCTAGTTTTCATTTACCATTTTTTTAGTAATAGTAGTCTATAACCTAATAAAATAAAAAATTATTTTACATTTAATTCATATACAAAATTTTAGAGATTTTAAAATTTTTTATATTTTATTAAAATATATAATTAGGTTAAAACGTACCAAAAAAATTATTTTTTATCTTTTTGTTAAGGTTTTGTTTCAGCTAAATAAAAATTGAATTTACTATTTTACAATAATTTAGTGTTGATTCTTACTTTTTTTTTTTATTCTTGAACAAATTTTTTTGTATTAATTTCAGCTTAATTTTTTTTATATCAGTTATATTTTGTCTCTATCATAGATATTCATGGCTCCGCCCCTGACAATATACATTTTTTTTTTTTGGAATTTTTTATGTTTAATGGACTTCATATATCAAATATAATATAATAAATATAAATATGTTACATAATATGATTGGTTAGAAGAAAAAAAATTAGAGTACATAATTAAAGTGTCCACCCTAAATAAAATTTCTGGCTCTACCCCTGGTTGAGCCGGCCGTGATTCTAAAATCGTGACCTCACAATAAACTAATTTGACTGAACTGATTAACAACCCTCGTGGAAATGATGGTGATGGATAAAAATGTGGCCCTAATTATTTTGCTGTAATTACGTGACTGAATCGATTGATAGCTTACTTGGTATTCAAGTTGACGAAGCTAACAGATAAACAAGGCATCTTAATAAACTCATTAAAGACGGCGTATAAAACCAGCCAAAAAAAAAAAACAGAGACAGCCTATAAACGACAACAAAGAAAAGTCTTGTTGAAGTTATGCACGAAAACGGTGGTTAATGTCACTTCACGATTTGTGACTCTGGTGGTCTATCTTCTCCCACTACCTCATTTTCTTACGCTCTCTTTCATTTTCACCATCTCCAGCATTGGATTCCACAATAAAAACTCCATGTTATTGGCAAGACCATTATGAAGGACGTTTACAGCTATGGGTTTGTTATGAGTTATGACCGCCTAACCGCTGGGTTTTTTTTCCTTAGAAAATACTAGTTAGGTCGACGCCTTCCAATTTAAAATTGTCTATCCATGTGATGTGTAGGGCCGGCCCAACACTGTAACGAAAAAAGCGAGGGTTTTAATCCCCAACTACAAAGAAGACCCCATTTTTTTTAATTACAGTGTAATTTAGTTTAAGTTTTTAAATATATGATAATATAAATTCTATAAAAATCTCAATAAAGTATACACCTAACAACTAAATTTCAGATTCAATAAATGGGCTCAAAAATACAGCCTACACATTTTTACAACGGTCAAAGCTCAGTGTAGTAAAAAAAAAAAATAAAAGCAAAACTCTCCTCTCTCTCTCTCTCTCTCTCACTCACTCACACACACACCCAATTTTTCATCTTAAATCATACACCAAATCAAACTCACATAACATAACCCACTTAATTTTGCAAAATTTAATCAAGAAAGAACTAAAATATTAAATTTTAATGTTGCAAATAACTGTGACAAATCAAATTGTATTGTTTTTATATTTTTTGTAATTTTAAGCTCATGTTATATTTTGTAATTATAGATACCATATGATTATTTACAACTAATTTATTGATTGTGTGTTATAAATATGACAACTAGAAAATAATCATCTAGATATAAAAAATTTTCTAAAAAATGAGAAAACTTTAAAATCATTGAATTTTAAAATGATCTCTTTATTCCTACTACCAAAGAAAAATAGTTTAAAGTTCTGTAAATAAACAATTAATAGATCCCAAATAATAAGAAATAATAAAATATTCACGATAAGATTTAAACATGCAAAACAACTATCCTTGATGCAAAATATACAAAAAAATATATATATATTAGTAACGAAAGTTTAAAAAAAAAATAAAGTCTTACTTAAGGTTGATTATATCAAAAGAAAGTATGAGAGAATTAGTGATACAGACAATTAAAAAAAAGTCTCATCTACAAATGTCACTTTAGGCCTCAAGCTTTCTTGAGCCTGCCCTGTTTAGAACTTCTGATGGTTCAAGTAAATAAGGTCATAAGTGTTTTGAATCTAAATCCACTTAGATTTTGGCACACTGACAATCTAATATTCGCCAAACATATATTTTTTTTTTTCCATGTCCTGTGAAACCCTATTGTAGCAACATGGCACACTTTCATGGAAAAGTCAAGTCTAGTTTAGCAGGTGTGGATCAGGGAGATGAGATAGTTGAAGAATGCATGGCGTTCCCAACGTGAAATAAGAATTGTCTTTACTTGGGGGTCTAAAAAATCAAGAGTCTGCCTCAGAATTGGAAGCTTCGATCAAGGCAATATCCTTGGAAGTTTCCCAGTAGGTATCGGGATTCATCAACAGCCTGAAAATTTTGATAAGAGAGGAATATACCCGCACCAGTCAAACACTGGAGCGGCAGTTCTAGACATTTAATAGGTCTAGGGATGAAGGACTAAATTGAGATAATTAAAAGTTTATAGATCAAATTAAAGTTGAAGGTAAAGTTCAATGACGAACTATGATTTTTTAATTTAATTTTTTTTTTTTGCAAAAATTGTTCATATCTCCATTAGGATGTTCTTTTTTATCTTTTAGTTCATGCATGGTATTTTTATGGCATTAAGTTCACATCAACTATATTTTTTTTTGTCTTATAATCCAATCTAAAAAATTAATATTTTTTAATTACCAATATGACCCCGCATAGTAGCACTATTTACGATATTTCTCAAATCCGAAAGTTTTTGTTTTTGAAGTCCGAGCTTTTGACTCTTTGTTTTTAATTGAAGACTAACGATTGACCTGTGGCTAAAGACATTTTGTAAGACAAAAATAATCACCTATGAAAAAATTGAACCCAATAATGCTTATGGACTAAATTCAATAAAAAAATGGATAGATTTCCCGTGATTGAGGGATCAAAAGAAAATTTTGGGTGGGATAAAAAATTTGAGAGTTAATTTGGTGTGTCGAATCAAAAATTTTGAGATGATTTGAGCTGACAATAGCTTGAGACAAATTAGGATAGCGTCGTCCATTGGATAAGACCTTATTTTCTTACAAAACAATCTCAACTGTTATCTATCTTTGAATTTAAATTTCAATCAACTTTATTTTTTTGATAGTCTCAAGTTGCTTTAGTTTTGCGAAGTAGAG